GCTTGATAGAGTTTTCGACCTTACTGACGCTTACTACGGGATCAGCTGATCGTGTAGCCTTTTAAATTCTCGAGTAGAGCGGGTATTTAAACCTTGTCGCAGCTACGTTCTGTCGTATCCTCCGACAAACCCCTCTTTCCTCAACATCCCTCCTTTTTCGCTACGACACAACTTGCGACGGGACATGTGTCGTAACTTGCGACGTGTCGTAGATGGACTTGCGACGCCCTGGATCCCCCCGGCCTTTGAGTTTCAACGGAAGCCGACATCATTTTTCTCCAAAAATATCACACTTTCGTGCCTGAAATATTATTACTTTTTTTGCTATTAAGCATTTTCCTGAAGAAGTGAAAGGGGCATCTTACCCCACAGGGTGGGAAAGACGCCCCCTGACGTTGGGAAAGATGCCCCCTGCACTATAAGTGACATAAATGGGCACGTGAATCGCCTGAACGAATCAGTAGTCCCTTCGAGCCTGCAGTAGACACCAAACGTCATCATAAGGGCCCTCAAAAGTAGTCGTAAGAGCAGGCACGTATCCAGGATTTCGCTCAGGGGGGGGGGGGGGGGCGACAGCCGAGAAGGGCCCGGAGGTCAGCCAAAAGGGGCCCCACAGCGACTGCCTATCCTGGCGTGTAAAAATTCGAGAATGTCGAAAAAAACAGCAAATTTACGATAGAATTTGGCATTGTAAATGAAAATGTATTGTCTTGCGTTTCTCGACCTTGATAACATGTTTGCAGTTAGCTTCCGTTGAAGTTCGTTTTTGCAGTTCACTTCCGTTGAAGTTCGTTAACCCGCGCCCGGCCGGGGGGGGGGGGGCTGTTTGAACACCTCCTCCTTGCGGTTTTGCGTGGATATAAAAAAGAGGGATGAATCTTATCTACAGATATGAAAATTTTACACCCAGGTCGCTCAAGGTCAGGTCACCAGACCACGTCAAGTGACCTCACCTCAGAAAAGGTTAGAATGCTCTCCATAGCAACACCGACTGAACGATCGGCTTGAAACTTTTAGCGATTGATAAGAGTAACAGTATGTATAAAATGATTATCTCCAAATTTGCATACCGGTGGTGACATAAGGTCAAGTCAATTTTTGCGCCCTCTCCATTAGGTTTTATAAATGGGAGAAAATCGAAAGGTGCCTCTTTTAGGCAAACGTCATCCTAGGCACCCTCAATCACCTGGTTACATAAAAAATGACAACCTAAATCGGAAATTTGTACCCGTGACCCCTCCTTATGTCTATGGGGTCATCTCAGGTCACGAAACGTCTCCACAGCTTTTGACAATAGCATTTGTTAGAGACACGCTAGAGCGTTGAAAACACCTTAGATGTGTTCAGGCCTTATCGACGATACGGTTTGACGGATGTGCAACATGACCTTTCAGGTCAGGTCACCTTGAATTTAGTTCAAATTTTCTAAATGACCTGATAAGGTCAAATTATATGTGGTTCATTCGACGCGTCTCGACGAGAGTAACACGATGCTGACAAAAGAAATGTCGTGCCTTTTCCTGAGTCGAAAATTGTTAAAGAAAAAAAGTGTTTCATAAAAACGACTATTTTAAAAGTTTTTTCTCTCAAGAGGCTAAACCGTTAACCCGAGCACCGACGGGGGGGGGGCTGTTATCCGCCCCCCCCTTGAGGTTATGCGGGAAAACCGTGGCGCGTAGCGCCGCGAAATTTGGCATGACTATTTTCTCATTAATTTTACACATGGTGTGCAAGTTTGAACCTCCTAACTTTTAAGGTCAGATCACCAGGTTACTTCGAATGACCCAACCTCAAATCACTTTTTTGCAACTTTGTCACGTCGTGTCAGAGCTACAGTAGATAACGGAGTATGATTCGATGCGGATTGACGAGAGGATCACGATGGTGCCCTTAGTTTGTTCCTAGCTTGGCTAATTCGAAAGTTATTCGAGAAAAAACTCTTCATATCTAGCGCCGCCATTTTGACTTTTTTTACCCCTGTGACGTCATCTTTGACCTGATCTGGAAATGACCTAATTAAAAATTGTAGACCTTGTCCGTGCGTACCCCATGCCGTTTACCGCTTGTCGCTATCTTGCTTCGTTCTTGAGATCTCAGGGGGCGGGCGGTCATCCGCCCCCCCCCCCCCGTCGGTTCTAAGTTGGCGCGGACCCCCGTCGGTGCGCGGGTTAATCGCAGGTCAATTCTGAGAACAGTTTACGGAAAGAACGTTAAAAGAACTATTGAATGCGTTTTTTTGTGGCGCTGCAGCTCTGTTTGTACCCGGGTTATGCGCCGGAGTTGTCAAACAATGTTGAAATAGGCAAAATGTGACCTTTGCTGACTTATGGTGACCTGACCTTTGACCTGACCTAGAAAATGACCGAGTTACTTTCGGCATGATTTTTTACGCTCTTCCGAATGCCACGTACGCTTACGTGTCGCTACGTGGCCCAGGAGCCGAGTTAGAGAGAGAGGGTGTTCAAACGCCTCCCCCACCGCCTGTCCCAAACGCCATCCGTGGCGCAACTATGGAGCTCATTTTGTTCGGAGAACTGTAAACAGGAGCAGCCCCATGAGGTCAGTCGAAAGGGTCCCATCATCGGCTGTTGCCTGTTCCTCGGGCCCCATGGCCTGGGCAGGGCCTTCTCAGCGGGCCCTTCCGTTTCTGGGGCCCGGCCAGGACAAGCTGTTTCTGAGACTGGGCACGGAAGTGTATATCTGGGCTCGCTTTCTTGATACGTTGTCGAGGCCGAGGGACCAATACTTAAGCTCAAAAGCCTGCTTCAAGGCTTTCTGAACGGGCCCTTCCGCTTTTGTAGACCTCCCGGGCCCCCGGTTGTCATTGGCTTGGCCCGGTCCGCTTGTGGGGCCCGGCTAGGGACCCATATGAGCACCGGCAAGACCCTATGGGCCCTTTTTGGACCCGAAAGCCTGGGCAAGATCTTCTCAGCGGGCCCTTCCACATCTAGGGCACAGACAGGCCCTGTGACTGGGCACGGAAGAGGATTTTTTTCGGACCCGCTAACCATAACTTCTCCGGGGCCAATTAGCTCAAAAGCGATACCTTTGGGCCCGATAAGGGACCCGTTTGGAGTCCGGCAGGGCCATAGGGGCCCTTCCTCAAGCTCGAAGGCTCGAGCATATCCTTCTGAACGGGTCTTTCCGCTTTTGGGGCCCTGCCGGGCTCCAAATTGCCCTCGCTCTGCCCAAAAGTGGGCCGAAGGGCCCAGTTACGGACCTGTTTGTGGCCCGGCAGGGCCCCAGGGGCCCATCCGCGAACCAAAAAATTCGAACAAATCCTTCTGAACATGCCCTTCCGCTTTTTGGCCCAGCCGACCCCAAATTGTTCCTGACTAGGCCCCAAAGCGGGCGCTTCGGGCCCGCTTTCTTGCTGCCTAGCGGGCCCTGCCGGGCCCGCTTTTGGGGCCCGGCAGGGCCCAGGGGGGGCGACCGCCCCCGTCGCCCCCCCCCCTTGGATACGTCCCTGCGTAAGGGGCTTCAGAGGTCATCGTTAGGGCCATCATAGTCCAGCGCGGCCAAACAAGCCTCCGTGGTGGCGTTCAGAGACCACTGTGGGGCTCTTATAGGTCTTCATGATGCTTGAGGGCCCTCGAGCCCATCGTGGGGACCTCCGATGCCAGTGCGGCCCGTGGGGCCAACGTGGAAGCCCTCAAAGGATGTCGTGATGGGCCCTGGAGCCAATAATTGGGCCCACATAGGCCGTCGTGAGGGCTCTCAGAGTCAGATGCCGCCCAAAAAGTCGCTATGTGGGCCGAGAGACCGGCATGGGGAGCACCCGACCGTACTGGACTCTCAATAGTCCCAGATCGGCTTTTGTCTACATCACAAGTATGTAATAAATGATTTGACGGGCTGTTTGAAGGACAGCCTACGGATTTAGGGGGGCGTCTTTCCTCATCAGGACAGGGGCATCTTACCCCAAGGTACCGAAGTAACATTTTGTTAGCCATAAAACTACACCATGAAACAAACTGTTTGGGACACAGTACACGCATGCTGATGTATCACGACTATAGCAATTAGCAAGGGACGCAAAAATTATTTACCTTCTTTGATATTCACAATGTTCTGACACCAAAATATTTTTTTGAAAGCAGCAAATAAAAAAACATGCAGTCATCAGCCAGCCGTTGCCCAACTGAGCTTCGCAATTTTTTGTGCCGTTAACAAGGCAGGCTTCCGCTTTACGCTAAGAACATTAATTTCCAGGTCCGATTCTTTGTTTCGTCGCTAGAGGGGGTGGGGCGTCTTTCCCACCCTGGGCATCTTACCCCACTCTCCCCTACCTGAAAATGTCCCATGTGGATAAACTTCTTTTTCCCATAAGCTTGTGATCCTTCTGTGTTTTCTGCCATATTGGTCTATGATGAAAAACGGCCATTTTAGGACGCTCGTATCCCTATATGGTCTTACATATGGACCGTTGTGATTGTATTATAGGTGCCCATTTTTTTTCTCATTCTCATGGACAAGTGACGAGCATTCCATCAGTTTATCTATCTGTCTGTCTGTCTGTCTATCTATCTATCTATCTATCTATCTATCTATCTATCTATCTATCTATCTATCTATCTATCTATCTATCTATCTATCTATCTATCTATCTATCTATCTATCTATCTATCTATCTATCTATCTATCTATCTATCTATCTATCTATCTATCTATCTATCTATCTATCTATCTATCTATCTATCTATCTATCTATCCATACCTAAATCCGTTTGTCTATCTATCTGTCTATATCGACATTTTATTAGTTATCGAATGGTATTTTCTATTCAGTTGTCTTTTGTTCGTCCCTTTCCGTGCACTTTGTTTCCTCCTTGTTCTCGTTTCCAACGCTGATCTCCTGCTAGTGTCGTTTGGTGTTGGCCAGCCGCCGTGTGTGCCCCTCAGTTCAGTGACCCCTGACCCTGCTGTGACCCCGGCGGCGGAGACGACTCCGGGGTCAGAGGTCACGGCCGGCCCCCGTTAACCGTGTGTTCTGTCACCAGGCGTCACAGTGCTTCTCTCCCTGACCGTTTTCCTCAACCAAGTGGCTGCCAATATGCCAGAGACCTCAGAGGCGGTGCCGCTGCTAGGTAACGCTCGCCGCCGGCCCGCTGCTCTGGGACGCCCGGGGGGTGGCCGCCCAGTCTAAATTGCCCGCCTCGATGTTGTGACTGCGGCCGCGTAAATCACAACTAGAGCCCGTGTGTTCTCGTAACCGGCGCCAGCGCTGACGTCAAGTCCAATAATGCCTGTATATCTACTGTTCTATAGACAGCGAAACAACTCTGCATGCCGTGTTTTCTGTTTGTTTCTTTTTTTAAAGCATGCAACACTGACGAGCCTTCTTCTCAGCCTAGTCCTGATTCTGAACGTCCTCGGGCATTGGGTACCGCAGCCGTATCATGTATGTATGCTCCATACCTTGTGACCATTCATTTCCAAAAGCACCAGCACCTGTGCCATACCAGCCGTGTCTCAGCGCACTGCGGCCCGGGCGTGTATTCGCAGCACTGATAACTAAAGCCCGCCGTCTTCCTTCCCGTTTTAGGTGTCACAATTTTGCTATCACTCACTGTCTTTCTAAACATGGTGAGCGACAGTATGCCAACTACCTCGGACGCAGTACCACTCATAGGTAAACAGGGAGGGGCGGCAGGGGAGCGGGCACCCGGGGCCCTGCCGAAATCCCCCGCCCCAAGGACTCTCTGTGCCGGCCTGGGCTCCCGAATCCTCTGGGAGTGGGCGCCGCCCGGTCTGCCGGCCGGCACCAGATGCAGTGCCTGCGGCAGGTAGAGGCACGCGCTGTGGCGAGACCCCCCCCTTCCCCGAGCCACAGAGCACGCTCCTGCAGGGGACGGCCGGCGCCGCGCCGCCGAGTAGTCCAGTCGACCCCCACCCTCCCTCCGCCACCCTCCGCCGGCGGCCCTCTGTGTTCTCTGTACAGAACGGACGGCGGCGCGCAGCCTCTGCACCACCGGCGCTGACTGCCGTCCGTCCGTCCGTCCGTCCGTCCGTCCGTCCGTCCGTCTGTCTGTCTGTCTGTCTGTCTGTCTGTCTATCTGTCTGTGTCTGTCTGTTCTCGCAGCCCACCCTAGCGCTCCAGTATCCGAGGTCGCATGGTTGTTGGCCGGCCCGTGTGGTGACCGCCGGCCGGCCGCTTCAGTGTGGTCGTTAGCCGCCGAGTGCGGAGCAGCGAGCAGAGCGGCTGATCGGTCCCTGCGCCCGCCCGACCGGTCCCTGTGTTGCAGGCGTCACTATCCTCCTATCGCTGACCGTGTTCTCTCTGATGATAAGCGACGCTTTGCCGGAGACGTCGGACGCGGTCCCGCTCATAGGTCAGCCAGGGAGGCGTCGTGCATGTCGCGCCTGTTGGCCTGCGGGCGGGCGGGCGGGCGGCGGCGGGAGCGGCGCGGGGACAGCCGGGGCACGTCACTATCTCCCTGTCTGTACGCTCGGACTAACTCCAAACGGCGACCACCGGCAGACAAACCGATGCCAGTCTCGTCAAAGTTTCCATCGCGGTGTGGGTGGGGGGCTCCTCTAGCGCCGCACGGGGAGGGCGCCCTGATGTGGGGAGCGGCCGGCGCCCTCAGACGTGGCCGGGGGGGAGGGGTGCAGTGCAGGCTAACCCCTGTCCGGCGGGGGTCGGGGGCCAGCCGTCACAGGGCCTGCCAACCGGGAACGGCAGCCTGGCTGGGAGCGCCTGGTCAGAGTAATATAGGGAGCCCGGGGAGAGCAGAGAGCCGGGAGGGCAGAGCACCCGGGAGGGCAGGGTCCTGGGACAATCGAGGTTCTAGGCGTGTAGTGCAGAGTCCTTGGTGGGAAGTGCAGTCTACAGATACCTTGTAGAACAGTGTAGACGTAGAGTCTAGAGGGCTGCGAGAACGGTGAGAGTCTGAAATCCCGGGAGAACAGTACACTGTCCCGGAAGGATAGAACACTGTCCCGGGAGGACAGTCCCGAGAGGACAGTCCTGAGAGGACAGTACACTGTCCCGGGAGGACAGTCCCGGGAGAACAGTGAACTGTCCCGGGAGGACAATACAGCTGTCCTGGAAGAAGAGTACAAAGACGTGGGAGAACAGTTTGTCCGGATGACCATGTAGAGCGGCGACGCCATAGAAGTTGGTAGTCGTTTCGAGTCACAAAAGTCAGGATACAATGTGGTTAGAAACGTTAGGCACCATGGCAATCCGACAAGCCCCAGGGACAGTCACCCGTAAGTATGTGCTATCTTTCTAGAAGGAGGCAATCGTTTGCTATCTCCATGCAAAGTTTAAACTTGGCATAACAATTACAGTTTAATTACACCATGGAACCTTCTGAAGTTTTATGGCGAAGACTTCTATGTCCAATAAATTGTTTTCTTTTCGAGTCTGAGAACTTACAGCCTTATCACATGACAAAGTGGTTGAGTGGGACCATAAATCTGTTGTTGAAAGGTCAGTTGCAAAATATTGCTAGGATGACGAGGATACTAGAAATCAGGGCCGTCCCGAGGTGGATCAGATGCTGACAGTCGGTCAATAGACAGACCTCTATCGTTCCCTACCCTCACTGCTCCCGCTGACGGGACGTGTGGCCTGCAGTCAAAATCAGCAGTCACAAGGTAGTCCAGATAAAACTGGTAAGTGGGACGGGTCAGAACGGCGCCAGCGGTCACCGCATACCTTCTACTTCTATTTCCGCAGACCTTGCCAATTGGGCCATAGAAATCACTACCTCCACAACAGCCCCTGCTTATCGCAGCTTCTGATATAAGAAACACGTCCATTCAAAGGAATTTGGCAAATGTCTCACCGCAGCTTGATACTAAATTAAAAAAATGTCTGTGTTCATAAGTTATTTTCATTTTACTAAAATAATTAAATTTAGAATATTCTGTTGGGAAGGTAACATTTCCACTCTGGACAGAATCAGCTGTTACCCGACCGTCTGCCGTTTGTGAGGGAGCCCGAGCCATGCAACCTGTCCTTTAGCCAGACAGCAGTCCTGCTGTTAGACTGTCCACCAGCTCCGTCACCTTCCGCCGCCGCCGCGCCGCGGTCCGTCGCCGCACCGTGCCCGCGCCTGCCGCCGCTGTCAGCTGCTGCGACTGCTGTCAGCTGCGACTGCTGTCAGCTGCTGCGACTGCTGTCAGCTGTCAGCTGTGACTGCTGTCAGCTGTGACTGCTGTCAGCTGTGACTGCTGTCAGCTGTGACCGCTGTCAGCTGTGACCGCTGTCAGCTGTAACCGCTGTCAGCTGTGACTGCTGTCAGCTGTGACTGCTGTCTGCTGTCAGCTGTAACTGCTGTCAGCTGTCAGCTGTAACTGCTGTCAGCTGTCAGCTGTGACTGCTGTCAGCTGTGACAGCTGTCAGCTGCGAGACTCTGCGGCCGTTACGGCAGCCTCGTGTAGGCCGAGCCCGCTCAGCCGGCCGCTTAGAGCAGCTGTGGCGCCTCCGTCGAGCCGCCGGCCGCGCCGAATGCCGCCACCGCGACCGGCACCGAGACCTCGCCGGGGATCGCCGCGTTCTATAGTCGAGATTGGCATGCTCTGTTCTCTTGCTCCGGCGGCCACCGCCCGAACGTAGCCGGGCCACCGCCACCTAATCGAGCGCCGATAATCTGACCAGCCACCCGGGCTGTGCTGCCTCTCCAGTCTCCTTCTCTCCCTTCTCGACTCTCTTTCGGTAGCAGCTAGCGGCACCTCGCCGGTAACGCTACTCTCACCTCACCTCATTCATGGCGTTAATGTGCTCACAGGAATGGGCAATAGTTTGTTAAGGAGGTGATGTAGGGTAGGAAAAGGAAAAGACATACATTATAAAAACACTAGCTTGTAATGCAAACTCTTCGTCTCAGTGAAGCGAATCCAGTGCATTTTGCTCGCGCTTTCCTTTCTTCTCGGGAAAGCCAAGAGAATAACAGACAGGTAACACGTTGTTTGGGCTTCTTAGCATAACTTCTAAAAAAAAAAAAAACACACATAAATTATACAATTAAAAATTTACATCGGGTTAAGACAGCCACCGAATTCTATCCAGTATCCACATTCACCATCAATTCATCTCAACGGCTGTTGCGAGAATTGCTTCAATATAATTGCATCACATCCGGTCTTGGCCGATATAGTTTTGACAGTAGATGATGAAAAGAGGTACACAAATCTCAATAACAATTAAAAGGCAGGCATATAAATCTGGGCCACGGAGTGGCGGCTGCTAGCGGCGGAATCGCAACAGTAATTAGGGGAAGTTGGGGGAACGCCGAATACTTTTTTTCTGACGCCCGTAGCACGCAAGGTAGACAACATAAGCTATTCTTGTTGGCGTCATTCGAGAGGCCAGTCTTTTGCCTTTCAAACATACCAGGCGCATTTGATGAATTCGCATACCGTTAAGCGCAAAAACTAACAATATCAAAGAAGTGACTTTTTCGGCGTTGCCCCGGACTGCGGGGAAAGCCGAAAATGGGAGAAATGATATACGGGAATGCCGAAATTGATGTTTTGCTATTTTATCTCAAATTTTATCCAGAATTCGTCAAAGCTGACACGCGTTTTAAGAGCTTGAGGACGCTTGGTGCACACTGGAAGTTATAATTGTGTGATATAATAAGAAAAGGCCAGGTAAATCATTCCTTATGGTAACAGGCCATTGTGTCGGTTAAAAGTGTAATTTGTGTGACTAAAAATACGCGTTGCTATTCTACGGTAAAGTTAAAGCTCGGTAAAGTTCACGTAGCATGCTTTAACACGCGTAAATGCACGTTTTCGGCATTACCCCAGCCAGCCATACTTTCATTTGCAGGCCCATAACTTTTCAACGTGCTGTATAAATTTCAAATAGGCAGCACACTTATGCAAAGACGTGCTGAAGATTACTTGACCGAATTGGCGAGACAAACGGTAGCATAATGAGTAGGAAATGTAGCTTCGAAGACGCATGTAGTTCAAAGGAAACGTACCTTGAAAACGCTCTTGGCGCCCTCACAGCCGAAGTATTCCGAATGACGACTGGTAACAAACATGCGATAATTGGTAGTCACTTAAGCTTCAGAGCATCACTGACAGGTGTCATCCATGTCGTACGGTTTTCGAAATATCTCGAATTTCGGCTTTGCCCCAACCCCGGCATTGCCCCAACTTCCCCTAATCATGAAGGCCACATTTTGCACTGGAAAGCGCTATGATTCAACCACTGCGGCCTCAACTAATAACTGATATTTTGCAATGTCAACTAAGCCTCCAACTTTGTTTGTGATTCATCCTCTGCTTTCTTTTACACAAATTCAGTTTTCGTCTTGCGTTAATTCCTTGCGGTTGTTCGCGTCTGTCGAGTGGAGGTGGCTAGGAATAGGAGGCTACCGCGGCGCAATGTGGCGAACTGCACTGTCCCGTCCGTCCCCCTTCTGTTCCGGCATCTCGCTGGGGCTCAAAGGCCGGAATGGGCTGGGCGTCTCTGCCTCAGCCGGCTGGGCGGAATGGCAGAGCGGAATGGTGCTCAGGCGCCGGCTGGCCGATAACAGATGGCTTCCGGCCGTTCATCTGGAGTCGGTCAGTGGCGGCGGACGGGCCGCACCCCGGTCAGGTCACATTGGTCAGACACCGCGACACCGCCGAGAGGCCGCCGTCCTCCGCAGTCCGGCGCCGGGCGCCCCGGGGCAGGGACGGGGCGGGGGGGGGGCGCCACGAGCAGTCTGCCGGAGCGCCGAGTCCCAGGAATTAGGAATACCGGCAGGCTGAGCCGACCCAGCTGAGTTGAGGCTTCTGAACTCGACCCAGCGGGACTGCAAAACTGTCCGCAGATATTGGAGGCGCGTCTCGCGACTTATTTCGTCGTTAGGTGCGGATGAGTTCATGACCCACAACGGGGACCGGCTGGAATTTGTCAAACAAGAACAGACGTCACTGCCCTGTCCGGTTGGTTTCCAATTTCGATGAAAATGTGACGTCTCGTGGTTCGGACCAGACAGCGGACAGTTACCGCCGAGAGTCGCACTGCCCCGGCCAGAGCGGGGCCACATCGCTCGTCACCGACACAACGTCCAGTCCACTATATCGTATGTACGGCAGCACTATCGTACAGTCCACTGCACAGCAGCCATATCGTATGGAGCGGTCTCATGCCATAGTTGCACTCCATTAGGTTATTGCTGTCGGACCCGCATTTTCCTTCAGGACTGTAGTTGCTTTCATCACCTCGGATCTTACACACTTCAGTCAGTAGCTCGCATCAAGAACAGCATTCGGCATTGGATGAGTATGGTGATGAGTAAAAACGGCAGTTATGATAAATAAAAGCGTGATGTCTTATCTTCCTGGATGTTAGTTGTCCTACGTCAATGGTGGGCACCGTTTCCTGTCATCCGTTTCATTTGTGAACCGGATCTGACTTTGGCGCGACCCTTTTATGAAGGCACATTTGTTAAATGCAGGCGCCTATCTTCCTAGATGTATGACTCTGATACGCCCAGGCCTTGCGCCCAGTCACCCAGTATCCCTGGGCCCTGCATAGTATTCAATGGCCCGCCATAAACCACCGCATCCCTTGAGCACAGCATAAATCACCATTAAACCGGTCCATGGCGGACGTAAACGGTGACAGATACTCGCCGCACGCCGCTAAACGACTGCCACAAACTGACTGCCTAAACGACTGCCGCACACTGACCTGGTGCCCGCGCAGAGCGTCTGTATAGCGCCCGGCATGCTCCGTGTTATGTGCACTGCACCCGCTCGCATTTCCACTCTCCGCCGCCAGGCACTGCATCTGATCTAGCTGGAGGTCCCGCCGGCCGCTGAGCGCTCTCTAACCGAACGATTAAACTGGCTCTCACCCCCCCCCCCCCCCGCCCCCTGTCTCGGTATCAACTCTGGCCTCCCCTCTACGGCTCCCAGCAGTCACTGTGGGTGGTTGTGGGACTGTGGGCGATTTTTTTACCACCATCTCCCGACTGAGCCGCCCCCTGGTCTGGTGCCAGGGTGCGCCAGTGTCAGGGCTCCAAGCAGTATCTGATCCGGACTAAACGGTCCACCACGCTCTCTGTGGTCCTGCTCCGACAGGGAGCACGGCCAGGGCTTTCCAGTCGACCAGGGGCGCGGCTCATTTGGGAGATGGTGGCCACTTGTCTGTCGGGCATCTGGGATCAATATTTTAATTACTTTCCATGTTAATTTGCTGATGCATCTAATTTACCGTGTATCAATGTGCCTTTGTTTGTTACCGGTGTTAAGGATTGTGTGTTTTTTTAATTAGCTCAGTTCCTTACTAAAGTAATCCGTGTGTCGACTCCACCCTGAGCGGAATAAACATACCAAATATGCACGCATTAAACAGCTCTGAACTCAAACGAGACTCGAAAGATGTGTCAACGAAGTGCACGACTGGTCGTCTCTCTCATGGCTGCTCTGAAAAGATGCTATTTGATGTTCACATTACAAGAACGTACAGTTGGCTTCAACGTTAGATAAATAAATGTCTTCAACACTTCTAAATGTGAGAAATGTGTGCCACGTTTCTGAATCCTTAATTTGAAATTAAGACACGAGTGCCTTGCATTTAAATGTAGATACTGTCGATTTGCAGACTTCGTTTATACATTTCTCGCATCGCAAATAAAAAGTAATCTAAACGATCATCGAATGCTGCATGAGCTGTGCAATGCACTGGTTTGATGCATGCATATTTACTTTGACGGCTCAGTGGCTGATTCACTTTAAATGCTTGCTTAACATGTTGATAACCTAAAGAAACTCATGACTGAAAAATGTTAATGTTTGTACTTTGCATTGAAATAGAAAGACAACACTTAAAAAATCAAAATAAGTTTCGAAATCAGCATTCATTGAAGTGTATCAAAGCTGACATGTTATGATAGATAGGCTGTTTGACACGCCTAATTAAGGGTTGACCACAATCGCTGGCCTGTCGACCATTGGTGTCGTTTGTGTCCGTTTGTGGCCCGATGGCTGTCCCATCGGGTGACTGCCTGAGGTGCCGGGTCGGAATCGGTGCTCCGCGGCCGGCCAGTGAGGCCCCGGCGCTCCTCTGTGGGGGTCAGTGTCACTGTCAGTGGCTGGTTTAACCGGACGACCACAGCCGTGACAATGCGGGCCAAAGTGCCGGCCACATGTGCCGCAGTTGCCCACTCCCATGTCACGAGCATCAAAAATGTCTTTTTCTGCCCAATTAAGGCGCGACAATCCTAAACTGGCGCCACGAATCCAAGATGCAATATAATATGAATGATTTAGGGGGCTTTAAAAACATACATTGTGTTTCATCCGATTTAGTAGATATTCATATTTTATCCGGTTGCGTCGAACCAAGCTCTGAAGGCATAGCTTTGCAGCTGAACTGGTTACCGCCATTTCCCTATCATTCTATTGCTCACGCTAAGGCCGTCCGGTGGGAGTACCGATTCAGACCGGTCTGGTGGTGACCTGTGACCCTGTCTGTGACCCCTGCTGAGCCCTGCTGACCCCGGCCGTGCGCTGTCAGGCACCTACTTCAACTGCATCATGTTCATGGTGGCGTCGTCGGTGGTGAGCACCGTGCTGATCCTCAACTACCACCACCGGTGCGGCGAGACGCACGAGATGGCGCCCTGGGTGAGCACACTGCCCCTGAGGGAGCACACTCCCCCCTCTCCCCAGAGGGAACACACTCCCCTCTCCCCAGAGGGAGCACACTCCCCCCTCTCCCCAGAGGGAACACACTCCCCTCTCCCCAGAGGGAGCACACTCCCCCCTCTCCCCAGAGGGAACACACTCCCCTCTCCCCAGAGGGAGCACACTCCCCTCTCGCCGGAGGGAGCACTCAGTCCGTGAGTGAGCCCCTGATTGACATTTTGCGCGTCGTACCTACTCGTGTGGGTAGGCACAGAGTATGTTCTTGCAGTTGATGACGGTGTGCTTTGTCGGCATGTGTCTGTTCCTGCAGTGGATGACATTGTGTTTGTGACGGGTGGTGTCTGTTCCTGCATTGTGTTTGTGACGGCAGTCTGTTCCTGCCGAGGCTGCCATTTTCTTTGTGTCAGCAGGAGTCTGTTCCTGCAGTGGATGACATTGTGTTTTGTCGACAGGTCCGGAGTCTGTTCCTGCAGATGGATGACATTGTGTTTGTGTCGGCAGGTGCGGAGTCTGTTCCTGCAGTGGATGACATTGTGTTTGTGACGGCAGGTGCGGAGTCTGTTCCTGCAGTGGATGACATTGTGTTTGTGACGGCAGGTGCGGAGTCTGTTCCTGCAGTGGATGACATTGTGTTTGTGACGGCAGGTGCGGAGTCTGTTCCTGCAGTGGATGACATTGTGTTTGTGACGGCAGGTGCGGAGTCTGTTCCTGCAGTGGATGACATTGTGTTTGTGACGGCAGGTGCGGAGTCTGTTCCTGCAGTGGATGACATTGTGTTTGTGTCGACAGGAATCTGTTCCTGCAGTGGATGACATTGTGTTTGTGACGGCAGGTCCGGAGTCTGTTCCTGCAGTGGGTGACATTGTGTTTGTGTCGGCAGGTGCGGAGTCTGTTCCTGCAGTGGATGACATTGTGTTTGTGTCGACAGGAGTCTGTTCCTGCAGTGGATGACATTGTGTTTGTGACGGCAGGTGCGGAGTCTGTTCCTACAGTGGATGACATTGTGTTTGTGTCGACAGGAGTCTGTTGTGGATGACATTGTGTTTGTGTCGGCAGGTGCGGAGTCTGTTCCTGCAGATGGATGAGATTGTGTTTGTGACGGCAGGTGCGGAGTCTGTTCCTGCAGTGGATGACATTGTGTTTGTGACGGCAGGTGCGGAGTCTGTTCCTGCAGTGGATGCCGTGGCTGCTGCGCATGTCGCGCCCAGGAGAGAAGATCACGCGGAAGACAATCCTGATGAACAACAAGATGAAGGAGCTGGAGCTCAAGGAGCGCTCGTCCAAGTCGCTGCTGGCCAACGTGCTCGACATGGACGATGATTTCCGCGGCGCCGGCGGCCTGCCGGGCTCGGGCGCCAGCTGCCTGCGGCTGCCGGCCAGCGACGAGCCAGGCCGCGGCGGCGGCGGCGGCGGCGGCTGCCTGGCCGGCTGCGCGCGCGAGCTGCAGCTCATACTGAAGGAGCTGCACACCATCACCGACAAGATGCGCCGTGACGACGAGCAGAGCGAGGTGACCAGCGACTGGAAGTTCGCCGCCATGGTGGTGGATCGCCTGTGTCTCATAGTGTTCACGCTGTTCACCATAGTGGCCACGGTGGCCGTGCTGCTCTCGGCGCCGCACATCATCGTGCCGTGACGCCGCCGACTGCAGCGCCACCTGCTCAAACGGACTGCGCCCGCAGCGCCACCTGCCGCGGCCCTCGCTGGCCGCCGAGTGCCGCCGACCGGGGCCTGTGCGCGCCCCTCGGGAGGGTGGCGAATCAGGGACCATTTTGGTCCCCAGTTTTTAGTGTACAGCTCTTCAGGAGAACTCGTGTGTACTAACTGCTCAGCATTGCCACTATTCCTGACTTCCTGATTACCGAGCATTGGCTTGAGGGCGAATGGGCGACTTCTGCGTTTTTAATATCTGTCTAGTTATGCCCATGCTCACGGAGAGAGTTACACCTATGCTCACCTATATCTCCACAGATATTATTTTATCGTCCGTCTTCTTTTTCCTTAAAGACAGCCAATCCGGTTCTACATTACACCTCCTGTTCGGGGCTGGCGTCTCCTCAGCAATCACCGGTCGCGGTGACGAGGTCACCTCAATATGGAGTAGGTATAATACTACATCTCTCCGGGGTGACCGTTTGAGTGGCTGGATGACCTGCCCCACCGGGGACGTCTCTGTTACAGCGGGATGGGCTCAGACGCCGCGGAACACCGGTCTGCTCGACTCAGACCGGTGTCTTATCTCTCAACTTAGTTCAAGGCCCTTAAATGGTCCCAACAGACCGAAAACTGAAAAGGGCTTACCCAATCCAACAAAACACACGGCATGCGTTATATGATTTTGCGAGTTCAAAGAAACGTCACTTTGCTTTCTCATGTAATAAATGAAACCATAGTACCTAATTAACAAACTTAGGTACACATTTATGAAGGGATATTTATTTAAGAAGTCCTATATTTCAGTCGATATTGCTTATATCCTATAGATCGATGAAGGCTTCCAGTGAGCGCTGAAGTTTGCTTGTTGTCTTGTTAAGTGCGCCATATCGAGCTGCCGTTGCGGCGTATGATGACGCAATATGAAGCCTCACCTAATCACTATGACTAGTCGATATCTTATATCTTCACATCTTGTAGCTAGCAAATAACTATGATCTTCCTGAATTATGATCTGCCGTTAGTGTGTTGATGAGTGTGAGCTCGCCGTGGGTGCGGTGGGCGACTCCTGCAGGTGCCGCCGTGGCCCCCGCTCGCGGTGGGTGCGGCGGGGCTGCACGTGCCGCCCTGGCCCCCGCTCGCGGTGGGTGCGGTGGGTGACGCCTATGGGTGCCGCCGTGGCCCCCGCTCGCGGTGGGTGCTGCGGGGCTGCAGGTGCCGCCGTGGCCCTCGCTCGCGATGGGTGCGGTGGGTGACGCCTATGGGTGCCGCTCTGGCCCCCGCTCGCGGTGGGTGCGGCGGGGCTGCAGGTGCCGCCCTGGCCCCCGCTCGCGGTGGGTGACGCCTATGGGTGCCGCCGTGGCCCCCGCTCGCGGTGGGTGCTGCGGGGCTGCAGGCGCCGCGTGGCTCTCGACACCATGTGATACCGCCCGGTCAGCCGCGCCTCTCACTCTGTTGGCCGGCCGGGGCTGGCAGCGGTGGCCGCCCGGAGCCGCCCGCATGTCAGTGGCGCCGGCCACGCATTACCATATGTAGAAAGTGATGCATCACCATGGTGTTATTGCCGAGCCCGCGCGACATACGTTCAAGCATGTCTGGCGTAGGTGGCGCGTTGTTTGGTACGGTGGAAGCGGCTGATCGGTCTGTGGGTCGGCGCGTGAGGCGCGCCGCGTACCATATGTTATTGCTCACTCGATCTCCGCGACTGAGGAGAGGCGTCTCTGCGACTGAGGGGAGGCGTCTCTGTGACTGAGGGGAGCGTCTCTGCGACTGAGGGGAGGCGTCTCTGCGACTGAGGGGAGGCGTCTCTGCGACTGAGGGGAGGCGTCTCTGTGACCGAATGAAGACAACTCCGCGACTGAGGGGAGCGTCTCTGTGACTGAGGGGAGGCAGCTCCGCGACTGAGGGGAGGTAGCTCCGAAACTGAGGGGAGACATCGAAGCATCGCCATAGCTTTAATAGGCTCCCGCGTTGGGAGGAAATGCGAAGCCCTCGTGTGTAAATAGTTTGCTTTCTTAAAGCATTCTTCATGATTCGACGATTGCTCGCTTTGTTGAATATTCGTCACGCCGTTTTCAATACAAATGACAACAATGTTACGAACTGAGTCGTCTGAGCGTGAACCATACAAAGGAGGGTTTCTGTTCGAATTATGTAGGCAGCTAAAACTTTGCAAATAAACGTAACGTGCTGCTTCAAAATGCATTATTAATGCATTCTTTAAATCCATTATTATTCAAAATATAAATGCAAATGGACCTTATTATAAAGTCTCAATGACGTTCCTAATTTTCATCCATTATTAGCTTTTAACGATGTGAGCTTGACTTTTTAGCTTTTTAACATCTTCTTTCTGATTTTTTTTTTGTCTCCAGAAGATGTCAAGTTGAGGGGGAAGCCGGTATCTGCCTACTGAGAGATTGGCGTCAATATCTCTCAGAGTTCGCAAGCTTATGACAAATATTGGTCAGGGAACGGGCGGCGAAAACGCCGCCTGCCCCGGTCCCGTGACGGCTAATCGTCGCCCCCCCCCATTATTTGGTGCACCACTTCCCATATGTTCTTTTTCGTTTTTGGCCTTTTTTACGTAAAACGTCCGCAACAGCGATCGGTGATAATGCTATGTGATTCAATTTTAGTGTAGGTATTTTGTGTGTCCACCGAGAGGTAAAACTGTAACGGTGACGTCAGACAGTACCGGTGTCGTCTGTGACGTCAGACAGTACCGGTGTCGTCTGTGACGTCAGACGGCGCCGGAAGAATCGGTGATTTCAGAAGCCGTCGGTATCGGTATCCCTATACGGCAATTCTGTCGTATAGGGATTAGCTCTTGGTCGGCACGATCCGTGAATTGGAGAGACGATAAACACTATCTCGGAACTGTAAAAACACCGTCGTGTGTACGTATTGGCATGATGACGATGTATGTACATTACGTTTGCGGTTTGTCCCCACGTTCCGTCACGTTTTGGTGACAAGTAGGTAGAGCAAAAGCAAAAGCACCAGTGAACACAGCACGTCACTGCGCAATGCGCATGGAATGCTATATTGTTTTACCAGTTTCGGTAGCCTTTTAAACTTCACCCAAGATTAACCCTATTCCTGGCGGGGGGGGCCTCAGGAGCCCCCCCTGAGGTTTTTTGGTTATATCTCCCAAACGCGTTGAGCTAGGAAGCTCAAATTTTCTGACTTTTCCTAAAAGGCTTCTACGCAACATGTCTGAAAATTTTGAGTTGATCTGACCTCAGGTCAGGTCACCAGAGGCGGTTTGGTGACGCTACCTCAGAAAAGTTTGCAATCACGCCAGAGCTAGAGTTTTTGACCGATCAATTTCTTCTCTTCAGGGTTTAGTTAGGGTACCAGTATGTGCAATTTGTATATCTCGGAATTTTGATATCGGTGACCTAAGGTCATGTCAATTTCGCGACCTCCCCATTATAACCCAGTAAACATGCCGACGTCGGCCCGACGTCGGCCGACGTCGGGGTGACGTCGGCAACTCGGCATCGGCATGTCGACGTCGGCCCGACGTCGGTCCAACCTCGGCACGACGTCGGCTGGATGTCGGATATGCCCGCATGTTCCGACGTCCAGCCGAGGTCCAGCCGACGTCGGGCCGACGTCGGACCGAGATCAATTGCTGAGGTCCAGCCGACGTCGGGCCGACGTCGGACCGACATCGGCCGCTGTTTTGACCGTTAAAATAATATAAAATACATGTTTCATGTTTCATAAAGAGCTTCTGTATTCCAAATATCCTCAGGAAACTCAAATCTTCCTCCACGCCGCAACCCCCTGATCCGGACTGGACGGGAAACTTTATCTCATTTGGGATTGCCTGTAAGCCGAGCTCGCCCGTAGCCGGGTGCGGTGAGTGCTTGGGGGCTGCTCGGCCTATCCTTTGGTCAGGCTCAGCCCCGGCAACTCACCAGGGCCGGGCCCAGTTCATATAGAAAGGCCAGTCGGCAAGTGTCACTTTGCCAAAGTGCCACTTATCAAAGGGACACTTTGGGAAACGTTGGTGCAGGTGTGTAAGAGTGGCTATATGAACCCATTGTGGGGTCGCCCTTTCCAATAAGTGGCACGTAACAGCAATGGGACCAGGGACTCTATATGAACTGGACCCAGGGTGCTCGCCAAGAAGACCAATGTCTCCATCCTATGATCTTTCCGGCTTTGAAATGGTCTTGTCAGACCGAAAGGGCATAACCCAACAAAACAAACCTGGTTCGTTAGTTGGCTGCGTGGTGTAGTGGTTAGCGCACTGACCTCCCGTTCAAGTGACACGGGGCTCGAATCCCATCGCCGGCCGATGCTTTTGGCGTAAACATGCCGACGTCGGCGACTGGGGGGCTCGAATCCCGCCGCCGGTTGATATTTTTGGCGCGTTGTCCCAATAAACATGCCGACGTCGGCCCCGTCGGTCCAACGACGAACGATCTCGTCAACCTCGGCAAACGACCTCGGCCCGACATCGGCTCGACGTCGGCTGGACTTCGGCTGGACGTCGGAACATGCGGGCATATCCGACGTCCAGCCGATGTCGGGCCGAGGTTGAACCGACGTTGGGCCGACATCGGGCCGAGCCTCGGCCCGACGTCGGGCCGACGTCGGCATGTTTACTGGGAAGTCAATGGGGGAAAAATCAACTCCCTGTTTTTACCACTAAAACGGGTCGGAATGGCCCCATATACCATACATGACTTCATATACGATCAACCTTCACTACCTTGAGGTCTGTTTTGCTGTTGGGCAGCTGTGAGGTCATGTGACGTCATCAAAGGTCACCAAAGGTTTTTGGCCAATAACTCCGTACAGGAACAAGATACAGACGCGTGGATGGTCTCATTGTGTTCAGCTCGTCAAGACGCATCGAATGATATACATGATGACCTCGAGGTCACGTGACCTGAGGTCAACCTTTGACCTTGACCTTTCGAGGTCAACATATATATCATTCGATGCGGATTGACGAGAGGATCACGATGATGCCCTTAGTTTGTTCCTATCTTGACTAATTCGAAAGTTATTCGAGAAAAACTCTCTCCATATCTAGTGCCGCCATTTTGACTTTTTCGACCCCTGTGACGTCATCTTTGACCTGACCTGAAAATGACCTTAGTAAAAATTGTAGATCTTGGCCGTGCGTATCCGATGCCGTTTACCGCTTGTCGCTATCTTGCTTCGTTCTCGAGATCTCAGGGGGAGGCCGAATCGGCCCCCCCCGCCAGTTTCTTGTCCCGGCGGAGCCCGCCAGGAATAGGGTTAAGTCAGCTTTGAATAGCTAATGAAGTTATTTAAAGATATATGTATACTGCCTTGCGCGCAACATCTGTCGCACTGATACCAAATTGTTGCTTTCAAATGAAGTCATAAGAACAGCGAAGCAAAAATGAAAGCTTAATAGTTATTTCAAAAACTGGTGAATATTTTTCGGTGAAATTTTGCAGATATTCATTTTTGCTTTTTTAACCATGGTACATCACTTTTATGCCATTTCATTTAACTTTCTTGAAACTATCTTTCTTAAAGGGACTCTCCCACCTTCAAAAAAGTTAATGAATTGTGATGAAAGTGATGTCGCTCGGTTCAGAAAGAGCGAAAACGAATATCTACCAAATTTCATCGAAAAATACTCACCGGTTTTTAACACGCGCAGTGGAAGGATTGCGAGTACTACGCCCAGTGCAGGGGGGGGGGGGCGGATGTCGCCCCCCTAAGATCTCAGCTCCCACTGGAGCTAGAAAGACGAAATTTGGAGGGTAGGTGAAGGCTCTGGGGAACTCTGTTGTGTGTGAATTTCATGACCCTAGGTCAATATCTTCAAGGTCAAATGAGGTCAAAGGTGGTCAAATCTGCCATATGAGCGTCATTTTTGCGTTTACACGCCGATAACTTCTAGTTAATCTAACAATAAATACCTATGGCAGCTAGAAGCCTGCTGAGGGTAACATGTCGCCGGCTGAAGCGGGATCGGCCGACGCAGGAAACGCGGCAATCACAATTTTGTATTTACACACTCATAACTCAAGTTTTACCGGCCGATTTTCAAAATTCTTTGACCAGAAGATTGCCTGTACATTTTTTAGTCTTCTCACCGAATTTGACGCGAATCGAATATAATCAGCGGTAAGGAGCGCGATGTAAAGACGGAACCGTCCCGCCCCGGCACAGTCTACAATTCAGGCGGCGCGTAACGGCTAGCGGCATGATGTTTGACTTTACACCGCTATTACAAGAAAAGTTGTGACCCGATTTTCTTATTTCTTGCACGAGAAGATCCGCAGCTCAATTTTGGACTGGTAGCCAAAATTTCACATTAATATTATGCTTGCGGCGCGAGTTATTGGCGAAAAACAGGAGGGGTGGGCGGAATCCGCACCCCCCCCCCCTTCCACTGCGCGTGTTAACCCGCGCCCCACTGGGGTCTGCGTATAACACGCCCTACTGGGGGGGGGGGGCTATTCATAGCCCCCCCTCCTAACTCCGAAACTACTGAGCCGATCGTCAAAATTCAAACGGCGTCTGATAGCCCCGGAAAAACTGTCGAGCGAAACCTAATTTCATTGACCTCGAGGTCACTGATGACGTCACAGGTCAGGTCAAAGTAAAAATTATTAGCATTCTGGCTTCTTCACGTTTTGGGCTCTGGCCGCCGTCTTACAAGTCAGATCAGGCTCATTTTTGGTTCACACACTCGTGAACAGATGCTCTAGATACTCTGAGGGTACCAAACTTGTACTTTGATTTTCAGGTCAAGGTCAGGTCATCACAGGTCACGAAAATATTATATCATGTGTCGGTCACGTGACACATGTTTTATTGTCCATTTAGGCCAAACATTTCGAATTTGATGTCGTCTGTGTCATTCGAGGTCATTTTGAGTCAAATTTCGCTTAGGTCAGGTCACTTTCAGGTCAAAAAAGGTCAAATTTTGAAGTTCAAATTTTTCAACAAAAAAGGTGTCTATTGGATGCAGTTTGAGCTCAGGAACACGGATGGTGCTATTTATATTGGCGTACGATGTCAAATTCGTGCTGAAAAATTGATTTGAAAAATTAATAATTGTTAATTTTTTGCAATAATGCGTATAACTTGG